AGGAAAAATATGACTTACTTTGAGTTCATCAGCAGTGGCCAGCTGAGTTGATAAAAGGCGGTCCTTGAAAGATGTGATAGGATCACGAGTTTGTCTCACTTCTTGGATTTCATCTCGCGTACGGTAGCTAGTACCAGGATCAGACATAGAGTGCCCCGAGTATCTGTATGTAAATGTTTCCATAACCATTGGACCCTTTCCTGCCTTGCAATGTTCAATAGCAAAGCGGGTAGCCTCCCGGACTGCCAAAACATCCATTCCATCAACCTACCAAAACAAAAAGGAATTTTAATTAACACGTTCCAAACATGAGTGCAACTACCTATATGTAAGTTTAACACTCATTATTCTGCTATTTACCCAAATGCCTGGAATGTAGTCACCACGAGTGTAGTAAGCTGTGCTTGCAGAAGACCTCTGGTTACTTGTACCCATACCATAGCCATTGTTTTCACAAACAAATATGCATGGAAGGTCCCACAGCTTTGCCATATTGTAGGCCTCAAAGGCTTGGCCTTGATTAGAGGCCCCGTCACCATACAGGGCAATACAAACACCATCATTTCCATTGTACTTTTGAGCAAAAGCCAAACCAGCACCAAGAGGTACCTATATGGAAGATAGAAAAATGTCTTTCAGAAGTACTTGGTGCGTCAATCAACTAATTTTTTTTGGCCTCATTAAAATTTATACCTGTGCGCCTACAATACCATTGCCACCAAAGAAGTTTTTGCTATACATGTGCATGGAGCCACCCTTTCCTCTTGAGCAGCCGGAAACGCGTCCTGTTAATTCAGCCAAAACTCCAAGTGGGTCAATACCCATAATGTATGTCCAGCCATGAGCACGATAAGCAGTGATAACCATGTCATGGGGGCGCATGGCACCTGACATTCCAACAGCTACAGCCTCCTGAAAGTTGAAATTAGATTGGCACAGTAGAAAATATGACTGTTGAACCTTTTAATTTTGGAGGAATACATACCTGACCAGAATACAGATGACAGAAGCCTCGGATAATTTTCTCTTTGTAGAGATTTCCAGCACTGGTTTCCATACGGCGAATGGTTTGCATTTTGCGATACAATAGAAGAGCATCATCTCTCGTGCAGCTTACATTGGTTGATGGACCAGAATCGAGTTTGTGGAGTTTGTAGGGCTAGTATCAAAGATGAGAATTAATGATGGCAAAAAGTTAAGGAGCTCATTCAAAAAACAATAAAAATTTACCTTGGTTTCAAATGAAGCTTCAGTGGCATAATTGTTCTTGCTTGTTGCAAATAGCGATGAAATTGTGTTCTGAGAGAGCAAATACAAAAGAGAATGTGAAACATTGTTATTATTATAAATGAGTTCAGGTCCCAAACATTAGAGGAGGGAGAGCCTACATCAAAAAATTTAGCACATACATTAAAGTGAGAGCTAAGAAAAGTCAGCAAGGAGAAGCATTCTTAGAGTATACATTACAAATGCGAACAGAAATTGATGCACCTCAATGAAATTTCAGCACACAAAAATGAGAGAAAAATCAAAATGACTACAGGAATGGACAACAAGCATTTCTTCAGGATTTGCTTGAAGTTGTGATGCAAAATATAGAGCACAAGCATGCCTTTCCACACAAAAAATACCAGTGTTTTTTCGTACCATGGACATATCCACAAAGTCTGGTATTATTCTGGAAGCAACATCATTTCCAGTTCCGTACAACCTCCCGCTCTAAGGCAGCCACAACAGAAAGAATCAGAAGGCCATGAATGCATCCTAACAAAACTGTATGCATTGAAACATGTCATAAAGACTATGTCCTCTACTCTGCAAAACATCTGCTTGTATATTTGATTATTTGCCATGCTTCGCTTGCTAAACTTTTAAGGAACTGACTTTAGGGATGGCTAAATGAACAGATCAAGCAATTAAACGCACCCAGCTCATGGAGCGACGAGCATCTGTTACACTTTGAAGCACATCACCTTTCTGAAACAAAATATAGGAGGGTATGACAATGATGTCAAGCTACATTGCATATTTCGAGTGCAGTTGCAGTGCTTTAAGTAGAAAGTACAAGCTAAGAAGCATGACATGGAAGTAATAATTGTAAGGAATTCTCTGAATTTATTTTTCTCCTATAAATACATTGAACTCTTTAAGTTAATTCATTGATCACTGAATCAAATATATTAAGTTAAAAATTTAGTGGCATAGGTCTTGCTAGAGTAGGAGGACATATCCGTTGTTAAACACACGGCACAAGAAAGAAATATGTGAAATATAGAAAATAGAGGAACGGATAGAATCAAAGTTGGGTAAGGTCACACAGCCTCAGCACAGTGTCATCTAACCTCAATTATTCTATCGTTGTTTTAATTCAACAGTGACAGCGTTTTAGAAAGGCACTCACAGAAATCTTGATAAAATTAAATAAATTTTTAGTGACTTTCGGCAACCTGGCTCTAAAAGCTTGCCTGCGTCCAGTGAAGGTGAAGGTTTGGTCGAATAGTTACTAATGACCACTTTGCACTAACCTTGTTGGCTTGACGGCCCAAGGTGCGAGCACAGTTGTTCAGCATGTTGAATCGCTATTGAAACTTGGCTCGGTGTTTAAATACACAAGAAAGGCGAATTGAGGGTCAACGTGAAGCAGATTTAGTCTGCCTCAAGCTGTGACCCTGATGACAAGAACACAACCTTCGTTCGTCTGGTGGTGGATCGTCTGCTTGAGAAAAGAAGAAGCCTTGCGGAAACAGAACGATACGCCTTCCTTTTCCGACGCACCGCCCTTTAGTTCAAGGTCGTTTCCTCCCGCCAAATACCGCCAAAACCTAAGGAGGAAGCGCAGCGCGGCAGTAACGCGGCAAGGCAGACTTTGCCTGGAATTTCAATTTCTAGCTAATCCAGAAGGTATTATAGTAGCGAATTCATTGGCATTCAGCTTTGACTGGAGACCAATTTTCTTCTTGGTATAGTGGGGGGCACACTAAAAGAAAAACACATGTAGGAAAAATATTCTTTAAGTTGAGCTTAATGAGGTAATGACATGGTTTATCTATTTCCTGCAACGGAAATATGGGGCATTGCATTCCAAGGGGTGGTTCCTCGAATGACAGGCTCCAGAGTGTGACTGTAAATGTCGGCGGTGAGTTCTTCCAAACCAATCTCCTTGTCGTTCTTCGCCTTTTTCGTCGCATCGTCGACTTGTGTCTTGATTTCAGCATCCATTTTCTGCAAGGAAAACGCGAGGTTGTCAAGTTTGATAGTTTGGGTGACCGAACGAAACCGTTCAGTTCGCTAAGGTCGCAGAAATCCTCAGCTCAATTTCCCCATCCGAACTCTAAACGGCGCGCACTCTTTACTGCTGTGCAGCGCATCTGCGAGGGTCCTGGTCCCCATCCCCACCTGCCTGCACTGCTGCGCCAATGAAGCAGAGCAAAGCTGAGCGCGCGGAGCCCCTGGGGACGGTAGGGTAGGCGACCGCGCGCCCCCGCTGTGCGGCGGGCTAGTATCCTTGCGAGCGCGGGGGTTTACCCGGCTGAGCCCGCTAGAGGAGAGGGCCGCCTTTTCTCATGCCCGCGGCCCCGCGGCCACGTCTCCTGATCCACTTCGCTCGCAGAGACAAAAGTAAAGTCCCTCTCTGTGAATCTCTTACCTTGAGCTCCTCGGCCGTGGCTAGTTCGGTGCTCAGCATGCGGTCCTTGAAGGAGGTGATGGGGTCTCGCGTGGAGCGCACCTCCTGGATCTCGTCCCTGGTGCGGTAGCTGGTGCCGGGGTCAGACATGGAGTGGCCCGAGTACCGGTACGTCAGCACCTCCATCACCATGGGGCCCTTGCCCGCCTTGCAGTGCTCGATGGCGTAGCGTGTCGCCTCGCGCACCGCCAGCACGTCCATCCCGTCCACCTAGAGACGCACGTTATTGAAGCGTGTTTCGAAACCTCGACGAACCTGCCCGGGATGAAGTCCCACCACTCCTCACCTGGATGCCGGGGATGTAGTCGCCGCGCGTGTAGTAAGCCGTGCTGGCCGAGGAGCGCGTGTTGCTGGTGCCCATGCCGTAGCCGTTGTTCTCGCAGACGAAGATGGCCGGCAAGTCCCACAGCTTGGCCATGTTGTACGCCTCGAAGGCCTGGCCCTGGTTGGAGGCGCCGTCGCCGTACAGCGAGATGCACACGCCGTCGTTGCCGTTGTACTTCTGGGCGAATGCCAGACCTGCACCCAGCGGTATCTGCACACACAACCGTGCACATTAGCGGAACACCTGGGGCAATGTTCTTTGCGCACTTTCAAGCGTTTTGCCAAAGGCCGGAAGTAGGTAAGGGGGTGAGGGCAAACACCCCCAGATCGGCCCCTGCGCCAGGGACCGTCCAGGAAGTACGTCCGTTTTTCTTATTTCTTCAGCAAATGACAGGAGCTCAGCGCCTGCGAAACTCGGGGTAGGCCAACCCGCAGTACGCGCATGCACTGCAGGCAAGATATTGCCTACCCACCAGGCGCCATGGGAGCTTGTATTGGCTGCTGAACTTGGGAGGTTCGTAACGGCGAATGACGGACGTACTTTCTGGATATCTCCTGGGATGAAAAGTTTTGATGCAGAGTTTATGGGAGTGGCATAGGCGGATAAACCGAGCTTACCTGAGCACCAACGATACCATTGCCGCCGTAGAAGTTCTTGACGTACATGTGCATGGAGCCACCCTTGCCGCGCGAGCACCCGGACTGCCGCCCCGTCAGCTCGGCCAGGACGCCGAGGACGTCGTCGCTGAGGATGTAGGTCCAGCCGTGCGCGCGGTAGGCCGTGATGACCTTGTCGTGCGGGCGCATGGCGGCGTGCATGCCGACGGCGCACGCCTCCTGCGAGCAGCCGTAAAGCAGGGCGATTAGTGTTTCCATACATGAATATGAAACCCCCGTCGGAGGAGCTCCCGGGCTCGTCAGAGGCTCACCTGTCCCGAGTACAGGTGGCAGAAGCCCCGGATGATCTTCTCCTTGTACAGGTTGCCCGCGCTCGTCTCGAGGCGCCGGATGGTCTGCATGCGCCGGTAGTACACCAGCGCGTCGTCCCTCGTCACCGACACGCTGGTGGACGGGCCGCTGTCCAGCTTGTGCAGCTTGAAGGGCTGCAAGGGGGCGCGCCGGGTCAGCGTACAAGGGCAGGTCGCACGAGGACAAGCCAGGAGGAGGAACACCAGAGCGTCGTCAAAGTGACGCCACTTTCACGTCAGGGAAAATTGTACCACCTTTTTGGACGCTATGCACTATGATGCTGTGCATGTGTTTTGACTCCTGGCTCAACCTTGTCACATCCTCGTTGGAGAAGGGGTCTTTTTACCTTCGTCTCGAAGCTAGCTTCCGTGGCGTATCCATTGCGAGCCGCAGCCGTGAGGGACAGCGCTGCATTCTGCCGGCACAAACACAAAGACGCGGTGGTAAACCTCTCTGACAGCCCCTCACTCCACTTGGCCGGGCGTATCGGCCTCTACTGCCCGCCCGGGGCTGGTGGCGCTGCCACAGCCACGATCGTGGCCGCACGCACTTGCAACTTGCAACCCCCCTCTTCCTCTAATTGTACCCCCCCCCCTCCCTTGCCGTATCATTCGCAAGCTCAACGCGAAGTTCATTGTTATACGTTCGAGGACGGAAATAAAGGTCTGGCCCGGTGCCAGGGGGGAGTCATGCGACACGGGGGCGACACCACGGGTCTTTTTTCTGGCGGTCCGGCCGGGGGCCCGATGGACAGGTGCGGACGCACGGCGTAAAGGCCAGGGGCGTGTAAAGTTAAGTACGCGTGAGCGTTTTACGTGAGATGAGCGCTCACACGAGCAACGTGCGGTGCCATATACTAAACGAAACGACTTCAAATTAAAAATATTTTTGCAGGATTGCACTCATCTTAGTCCCTCCCCTCTAAAAATATATGGGTTCTGCCAATTTTCGCGTCATTTTGCCTCTCACCAGGACGCTCATCTCACGTGAAACGCTCACGCGTGCTTAACTTTACACGCCCCAGCATGTCGGCTGTACGCAGGTGGGGGCGGGGGGGGGGGGGGCAACCACCACCACCCGACCCCCCGCGTGCACTGGCCGTTGCATCGGTGGACGTTGCTTGCGCTGCTGCTGTCTTGTGACACCCCTTCCACACTGAATGTCATGCCCCTACGTACCGATGTGCACCCGCGGTGGCGCCCCACCCCCCACCCCCTCGCTACCCCGCGATTGATAAGGTGCCTTTCTACGCACCCATCACCACCCACACCCACCACCCGTTGCGCCATACAGAGACTCACCTTGCAGAGTTGACCGCCGAGCGGCCTCGCACAGCTGTGGAGCATGTCGACGACCCGTCCTGTACTCCCCCTTCTAGTACATCTACTGATCACAGCACGCGCAACCTATCTCTGTCGCTCTGTCGTCTGCTCGTCGGAACAGGCGACCGAACCGTTTTAAACGTTCCCTCGGCCCTCTAATCGATTTGAAAGATCGTCTTCCGCTTCTCCTGCGAATAGAGCTAGCTAACACTAACCGCAGCAAGCAGACACAAACAGTCAACAGCGCCGACAGCCGAAAAGGTTAGGTTTATTTATGTTTTGGTGTTTTGACCAGAAACTTGAAGTTAGAGGAACTGTCCGGTCCCCATTACAAGGGCTTTTGGATGTTTGAAACTTTGATATAGTTGACACGTTGATTCAGGCTGTAATTTTGTTTTTGTCGAGGTCGCACTTCTCTTTCTGAAGGCAGTCGCATGGTTGCACAAGTGCATGCAGCAGGTGTTTGACATAGTTCTACGTGTCAGGCAGAACTAGTAGTTTCAAATGATCAAAATATTTGTTTTACTTTGTGCTCTTTTTGATTTTCCAAGTAATTGTTTAGTTATACCGTTAACCTTGCCTTTTAATATCATGACACTGCTCTAACCTGGTCATATATTTTGCAATTTCTTTTTTATTGAATCTAAACACTTGGGAACAAGTTGTTTCTCTTTGCCTTACCTCTGCGCCCTTTAATTTTTTATATTATTGAATTTAACTGTCCAGATGCCAAAGAGTGATACCCCTCCATCCTCACCGCATTACCCCCAGATGGATGACGACGAAGACGAAGAAGAATTCTTTGAAGTGAACGAAGATGAACTAGAAGAAGTCCTGAACTTGGCTGATGGAGGTAGAAGTGATGAAGAAGATGAAGCATTTGATGATGAACCTGTCCTCGGACCACCTCCAGAGAGAGATGATGCATTCCTGCTTTTTTCTCAGCATTCAAGTACAGTTGCATAAACTTATAGGCAATGAATTATATTTTCCTGTGCTGAAACTAACTACTTCATAACGTTTCAGGTTCAATATTTAGCTGTCACATAGAACCAACGAATGGGAAATTGGCAGTTACTGGGGGTCAAGATGACAAAGCATATGTTTGGGAAATTGAAAATGGAAAGATACTGCTTGAATGCACAGGTCATCAGGTAAATACAGTAATTCATAGCCAACATTTTACTGGCCAACCTCTCTAAAATCTGACTCTGAAATGTCTTTGTACCACAATTCCTACCACTTCCAGGACTCAGTTACTGCTGTGGAATTTAGTCAAGATGGAAACTATGTGGCTACTGCTGATATGGCTGGTCTGGTTCAGGTGTGGAGAACTAGCTCAATGCAGAAAGTGTGGGAATATACTATGGGAGATATGACAGTAAGTGTTTGTCAACTCTTGTGCTGTCCAATTAGTTAAGTCAATCCTCATTTTATCATAACTCTTTTTCTAGTGGATGAGATGGCATCATGGGACTAATGTTCTCATGGCTGGTGCTGCATCTAGTGAAGTTTACATGTGGAAAATTCCAAGTGGAGATTGCAAAGTCTTTGGAGGAAGTGGAGAAAAGAGTGACTGTGGAGTAATTTTACCTGATGGTAAATACATTCAATTTTTTT